TCTGAATGCGCCTTCTGAACGCCAGTTCTCGCATTGTATTTGAAAACTTCATTACATGGTAATTTTTATTTAATGTAAACGGCAACTTTACAGCTGTGATCGGGGTAATACATAGGAAGGCAATTTATACGTTTATTGTTCTATATGAGGTTTCATTGAAGACCAGAGAATTTGTTTTATTCGCAATTTTCTTATTAGTTTTTTCAATATATCGAACAATATTTTTAGTTTGAACTGGCAAATAGAAAATCAAGTTACCGATGGACATTTTTATTTCGTTAACGACGTTTCGAATGTTTCTATCATTCATTATCAAGTTAAAAGGCGCATTGAGTGATGAAATTAGCGTCNTTGCCAGTTCAAACTAAAAATATTGTTCGATATATTGAAAAAACTAATAAGAAAATTGCGAATAAAACAAATTCTCTGGTCTTCAATGAAACCTGCTTGAAATTATAATATACCTGTCTCTTATACACATCTAGATGTGTATAAGAGATAGTTTCATCACTCAATGCGCCTTTTAACTTGATAATGAATGATAGAAACATTCGAAACGTCGTTAACGAAATAAAAATGTCCATCGGTAACTTGATTTTCTATTTGCCAGTTCAAACTAAAAATATTGTTCGATATATTGAAAAAACTAATAAGAAAATTGCGAATAAAACAAATTCTCTGGTCTTCAATGAAACCTGCTTAAAAGAAGAAATTCTGCCAACCTATACTAATGTTCTATATGACTCTATACAAGGGGAATTAACGATGTTCATTGCGTAATTTCTACTTCATTAACAAGGCAACTGTCAATTTTAACATAATGTAACAATTTTTACATAATACAATTTCGCAAATTTCTACCTTGTTCATAAAATAACAAATTACCGTTTAAATGGACGGGTGTTCTCTCAACAATAAGGCGATAAATTGATTGTTATTCTATGTGTGAACACGATGACATCTATACAGGAAACTGACACGATGACATCCATACAGGAAACTGACATGATGACATCCATACAGGAAACTGACATGATGACATCTATACAGGAAACTGACGCGATGACATCCATACAGGAAACTGACACGATGACATCCATACAGGAAACTGACACGATGACATCCATACAGGAAACTGACACGATGACATCCATACAGGAAACTGATGTATTTTATAGCCACATGGAATACGTCACTTCAAACCCGTTCCCAAATTCCATTAACCAACAAGGGTGATTATCCATTCTTTACATTTTTGGCGCTACTTCATGCATTAAAATGCCATTAGTTCAAAAAGCAGATAATTTGAAACAACATTTTTGCTCGAAATCACTAGACAAGTTTCTGTGGAAAGCCCACCGCCTATACTACAGAGAGATGAGAACGTTTTACTAAGCTGCGTTGTATTGAACGCTGTTTTAATTGTCATCGCATTAAATCTCGTACAGAACAATGGAAGCTTTCTCGATGCATATGCCGAAAAGAGGGATACTCGTACTATAATCAAGCTTTGCTTTCTCCGTACTGGCGAAAATACTTGCAACGAAACGCTCCCTGTTTGATTGTTGATACTATAGACTTGAATTTGTTTGAACCAAACGTTTATAGTAATGGAATAATAGTTATAACTATAAAAAACAGGGAATATTGCAATGAATTTCTTATTTAATTCCGTAAGACAGCCACTTTTTATTTTAATTAATTTTATTTTAGAATGCAGTAATTTCACCATATGCTGATTTCGGTAATAGTCCAAATCTAGAGCAAGTTACTTTTTAATAAATTCTCTCACGAGCGCTACCTTTTGCATCACATGAATCCTTACATCACTAACGCACCGCCTCCTACGGACCTATACGCACCACACAGACATTATAACACACCTCACCTCTCATAAATTCTCACCCAACAATTGCAAAAAATTAAAATATCAAACCACCCAAACTACCACAAAATATCATACCACCACCATTTAAACGTCACCACCACACAGCCACCACCACCACATCACTACCTCACCACCCCACCACCCCACCACAAGGCACCTTACCGCATCACTTCTCCACCATCACCACCATACCGCTACCATCATCACACCACCACACTACCACCCCACCACCACCCCACCACACCACAACTTTCAGCGGATGTACGCCATTAGCGCATCTGGGAGCGCGGGCGCAGGCGCGGAAGCTGTGCGGTATTGGCGGCACACAAAACAATTTCCCTTTTTAATTTGCCGGCAATTCCGGCGCTCCGACTTTTAGCTAAGCAGCCTCAATTGTCTACACATTTCTTCCTTAAAATGTTCCTCTATAATTTTAACGTCACATTTTATAATGTGATAATAATATTATTTATGATATTGTAATATATATTATAATATTTATGATATAATAATATTATTTATATTCCACATACAATAATTGTCGATTTTTGCGTAAATTACCCTTAATTTTTAACATTTTTATTAATTTATCAAATTAATAAGACTGTATGTAGTATATTGAAGCCACGATTTAACTTCAATTTATGATACTGGCAATAAAATGCCAGTATACTGAAAAAAAATAATCAGCAAAGGAAAAACAATGAAAAATGTTAGATTTCGAAAGTTACACTCTGTAAATTTCAGAAAAAATTATAATGACTATGTGATTTATTACCTTCAACATGACCTGTGAATTATTATTTATAATATCTGTGATTAGCGCTTCTAGGATGATAATAAATTAGGTGAGTAACGATCGATCACACTTAACAATCACGTATTTCTAGCCTCGTCTTTATAGCTTCATGTTTATAGCTTCATATTTATAGCTTCATATTTATAGCTTAATATTTATAGCGTCATATTTATGGCTTCGTATTTATAGCGTCATATTTATAGCTTCATATTCATAGCTTCATATTTCGAGCTTCGTATTTATAGCTTCATATATATATAGCTTCATATTTATAGCGTCATATTTATAGCTTCATATTTAGAGCTTCATATTTATAGCTTCTTATTTAGAGCTTAATATTTATAGCTTCATATTTATAGCGTCATATTTATAGCTTCATATTTATAGCTTCATATTTAGAGCTT